CTCCAGAACAACCCCGGGAGGACGAGCGAATTATCGTTCGATTTGTAAATCAAACGCGGCTCGCGGACCGCGGAAAATTGAGAACCTTCTGACAAAATATTTTATTGTGACGCGACAAAGGCGTCGTTAACGATCTCGGTAATCGGATGCGCCTCGTTAATTTAATCCGGCGCTCGCGAGTGCTAAGGCTAAAGATAAACCCTCGTCGGAAATCCATATTTTCGGATCTCCAACGTGCGGGATCGAATTACGTCGTGGACGTAAATTGCGACGCCATAAAAAGTTATTTGTGCGATTATAATCTTATAAATGACTTGAGAAAAAATAGAGACCATGAATAATAAAATTCAACAAATATTGCCTCGTTACTCGCACAATATCATGTGATATAAGTACGCCGGCAATTTCATAGCATGAATCAATTAATTTACACACAGACGTAGTGCAGCAAGCATCCCGCAACCGACGGACCTTGATACGCGTATCAAAGCCCAAGGAGGATCTTATGGATCTCACGATCTACGTACACGCGATGTTTCCTTGCTGAGTCGCGGCCTACAGATCGAGAAGTTAAAACAAGCACACACATTCCTGTGCACTTCCTGCGAATTTCCTGCGCCAGAGATTAAGATCGAGCGTTAGCGTGAATTAGTACGTCGATCTTTCTCACCCTTATTAAGACGCACACTTTCCGATAAGCGCTGCGCGCGCGCGCACACGTTTCCGAACGGGGATGGATTCTCGTCGATCGGGGTGCACGGACGGGGCGCGAAACGGCCGATCGTCTATGCAAATATTATGCAAGCGGCGCGATTGTTCGATCCGTGCTTGTGTGTTATATGTTCCGCGAGCGGCTTATGCAAATACACGGCGTATGCAAATCGCCGCGTCGTAGACTCAATGCGTGCTCGCAGCCACGCGTGTCCTCCTCGATCGACCTGCCGTCGGATCCTTCGTTTTCATTTCTCGCTTTCGCAATTATCGATCGCAAAGTCACTCGACAAGTGTCATCTACCCGCGAATTATCCGTTTCGCATTATCGTTGTGTTTCGCCGAAAGCGAAGAGATACAAAAACATTTGCATCATATCCAATATTTTTTTCTTTAGAAAAACAAACATTTCTGAAAATACTAAAAAAAGCTTGATTTTTTTTATCAATTTTGTTTGATTTATTTGAATCGAGATTTAGCTTACAAGAGGACAACCAACCCTTGATCCCTTAAATTTTACTATATTGCAGTACCTACTACATTCCATTCACTAATTCAAGGTACAATAAATCTGTCCAATTCGCAATAGTTTATGATATATTAATATTCAAAGTTTTGTTTTTTGGTATTAATGATAAATGAACCAAGCTTATGCAAAGAAGTTGCATTCATAAAACACGCTTCGTACAAATTAGTAATGTGTGTATTTTAAATGTTTCTCTAATAGATATCCAAAAACGTGTATTGTGATCATGTTATTGATAGTGAACAAATTGAAAGTTTCGACACCGAAGATTAATTGTCATGTAATATATTTTTGTTAATTGTGATGTACTTCTTCGTAATGTCATTATCATTCTATTTTTATTTATTCATAATACATAATTATAATACATAAATAAACTTTATTTTGCAGAAATTTAAAAGAATTACATACACGGAAAATTTTAAATATTAATATTTCATAAACTATTACGCATTGGACAGAGTTACTGTACTTTGTATTGTATTTATGAATGAGGTGTAGCGTACCATGTTAAATTTAGCAAAATTCAAGGGGTCAAGGGTTAGTTGTCCCCTTGTTAGTTTGTTGTAGTATCCTTTTTTAATTAACATATTCGAAATAGTCGACAGCTTCGAGATCTTAATAACCCGATTAATTGCACACGCGAAACCGACATGTCGAAATCTCCTTTTTCGTTTTAAATCGATTCGCTCCGCAACGCAACTATCAACGTATGCTGTAAAACAAGCCGCGCTTTGTGTCGTCGTCGTCGTATCATCTCGCGCCGCTCTCGTGTCACTCACGCTACTGCATCGCGATATTTTGTGTCATCGCTATCCTTGCCGCATCGCCTCCGCTTCTCCCGTGTGTTATTCCTACGTCGCGCATCACGTCACGCATTGTTTAGTATCAATGCTGTGCCACTTCGCAATACTTCGCATGTCTCGCGTGTCACTTTATGTCGCTTTCGTGGCACCTCCTATTACATCGGTGTGATTTCCTGTCTCGTTACGTCTCCGGCCGCGCGATTCCTCCTTCGTTGTCGTCCCGCAAGACGCGCTCTCCTCGTCGTTTCTTTTTCCCCCTTAGGTATCGCTCTCGGCGCTTCTCTTACCTCATTTATATCGTCATCGTATACCGCGCGAAGAAAAAATGTATTAGTCATACTTTGAAAATGAAAAGTACTAATAACAAATAGAAAATAATAGTTAATAAAATATTGGAATTTTATATTAAAGAGTCTTACGTTAATTTATTATCACGCTAACGGAGTTAAATGTCGCTAATTTTTTAACGGCAGTGTTTTAATTAGAGAGAATAATCGCATTCGACAAATACAAGTTTGAGACTCGCACGATTATCCCGAGGATCTTTCCGATTGCGCGAACATCCGCATTTTCCGCATTATTCCTGCGATTGAGAAAAAAATTCCCGAGTGCGGCGGGGATAGATATTTACCGAGCATAAATCTTGCCCGGCAATTACATCGCTCGATCACGTGCTCGAGCTACCTTTCCCTCCCCCCCTCCCTTTCCGCTCCGCCATTAATTGACCCGTACCTTGGCATCGCAATTTCCGAAGGACGTGAGCGCGCAGCGATAATTATAGGAAAAAAAGGTGAGGAAAGGGCGAGAGCGGGGCCGTCTCAAAGCGGAAGTGACCGTAACAGGACGGAAACGCCCTTGCGTTACGTCACATAGCGTAAACGAACGTCGCGCCCGACGATCCGTGCACGCGTGCGCCGTGCGTGTTCCGTGTACCTACGTACGGCAATATGTCACTTGTTACAAGCTACGTACAACGTTATACCGTGTACCTACTTCGTCTCCGAGCCCAAGTACTTCCGCAAAGCGTGCTACATCGTGCTAACTCTGAATTGAATGCCCGACGCATCTTATCCGCGTATGCATTTATCCACGTACTTAACAATCGTACTTTAAATCGTTTCTCTATGGAAATTTAAGGAAAATTAATCTTGCTTTTTCCCTTATCTGTTTATTCATTCCTGTCTATGTTTTCGCAAATAATCTTTTTAATTAAAAAACAGTATTAATGAAACAAATACGTCGCGCTCTCGTTTGAATAAAATGTTATCTGCAGTTTCATTAATACTGTTATGTTATTGAATGCATGGTTTTTTTCTTGTAGTCTTATGTTTCAATTTTATCCTTTTGTGCATCACGTGTGGGAACACGATTAGCGTGTCTCACAAGTACTTACTAATCTAAATTATCGATATTTGTTATATTCTAACGTACTTGGAAAATATGTCCAAAGAGCCTTGTAGCGCGAAATTAATTCCCTCCGGATTTTCATGTTTTAATTTTGCCATTTTGTGCATTATGTGGGAGCGCGATTAGCGTGTCACAAGTAATCAGTTAATATAAATTATTATCTTATATTCTAACATGCTTGGCAAATATATCCAAAGAGTCTCGTGGCGCGAAATTAATTCCCTCCGGATTTCCACATGTTTTACTTTTGCCATTTTGTGCATTATGTGGGAGCGCGATTAGCGTGTCACAAGTAATTCGGTTAATATAAATTATCTTATATTCTAATATGCTTGGAAAATATATCCAACGAGTCTCGTGGCGCGAAATTAATCCCCCTCCCCCCCGGGTTGTGTCAACATGGAGATTATCAGCGACCGCGACATTCTCGCATAAGTGAACGACCCACGTGCAAGGCGCGCATTCTTGCACCCGGACCCACATTTTCAATGAGGCCGAGGTTGGGAGACGAGTTCGTTCGCCCGTCGCGCGCGTATATAGGCTTCTCTACCTGAGCTGTGCGCGCGTGCATACACAGTGACTCAACGCGAACCAGACTGTCGGTCGACGACGTGACGCGACGAAGTGGCAGGAGGGTGGGAGGGAGGGGCAGGGGAGGGGGGAAGGGAGCCATCCCATCCTATGGGATCTCCGGCCAGGATAAACCGACCCTCCGGTCATCGCCATCCCTGTCGAGTAAAACCCCCTTTCCCCCGCCCTTCGTGCCTAAACCCTCCGCTTTCTCTCTTTCCTTCTTTCTCTTTCGCCTTTTCTTTCTCTCTCTCTCACCCCAACACGTATGCACCGTGTAGAGACCCCTACAATTCGGTTTTCATTCCAGTCTTCTCCGTGCCGGGCCACGGGATAGATATATAGCACACTATACGCGCGAGAGTCTACGAGCTCTCTTTCTCTCCCTCTTTGCGGCTCACCCGGCCCTCGTATAGCGTTCGAACACGCTTCGATCATACCGGGCGAACTACTGCATTTTATATTACGCGCGCCGTGCAAAGTTTTCCTCGGAAGTTTTCCTGTGCACGTGAGTGAATCGCGTCGAAGCTCTTACCGCGGAGAACGCACAACACGTTGTTCTCTCGCTGTAAACTAATCCCAACGTGGATTACTTCCTGGCTGATGCCCGACCAGTGTGATTGAATTGCGGAAGCTTGTGAATTTCGAAAGTGCTCACGATCGCTATTGACAGTTGAAACCGGCAGAAAGTTTTGGATGTATAACGCTTAAAGTTCGGAATAACAAGCTTGATGGTCGAGACAGGAATTTGGGGCATCGAGCAGCTTTTGATTTGAAGACAATCGTTTACGACGCTCGTGAAATTCCTCGTTTACATCGTTTTCCCGTGAACTTTTTCGCGTTTTCCACCCTGCGTTGATGGATGACGGGAGCCAGCTGTTTCCGAGAAGGGTGAGCCATTTCGAAAGGTCGTCGCAAGCTATTTCATCGATCGATTGCACGCCATAAAGGGTGTACAAAGCCGAAGAGTTCGTCTCCTTCGAACCGTCTATGGCATGGTGCAAAAGTAAGCGTATTTTCGTATTTTATTTGGCTTGTGCGAGCGATTGGCATTTTAATATGTTATACCCTTTTACCATTTATTTAATAATCAACGGCTATTTACAGCGTATATAACCGTACGTGACACGTTTCTATTAAAATACCGATCCTATGGGAAGAAACGTTTTAAGAAAAATACTTGAAATTTATACATTTTCTTTTTACAATCGATATTTGTTCGTCGTGTTTGCCTTGCGTGTTGACAATCAAACAATCCCGCTACAAAAATAAATAGGAAAGCGAGAAAAAAATGGTTCTAAAATACTAGACAAACTCAACCCGGAAGGTATGGGAAGTAGACGAAAGATTTTTGGCCGTTGTTGTTACGGCGCGGTAAAACACACGGCTCCGCCGTCGTATCGATCATAATATGGTCGACGAGTCTGTCGTCGTCTACCTACCGGTTTACAATTTTGTACCACGTTGTCTGAACCGGTGAGGAATCGAAATGCTCCGCCACGCCGCCGCGGCTTTTCCAGCTACCCTAAACCAATAAAGCCACCCCCTCCTTCGGCTGGGTTCCGCCGTTTGGTCTTAAGAGAGTGCAGCTGTTCCTGCCTAGCCCCGACCTTTTTCTGCCTCCACCAGCATTAGTTTCAAGAAAGAAGCTTCAGCTTTTTTTTCCAGCGCCGTGTTTCCGAGGAAAATACGTAAAGCATTCACGTTTTACTCGGAATCGCTGTACTGCGAATTAAAGTAGCGAATTCTCACGACTGTTGGTCACAATTGTAATAATAGATTTTACAATACATTACGTTTTCCAGTAGGAAAAAGAGCTTGTAGTATTCAACGTTAAATATTTCACTTAATTAAACCTCAAGCCTCAAATTGAAGTTCCATACTAAAGTACATTATTTGTATATTAAAGAAATAGAACTAGAAGCAGGTAAAGTTATTTATAGCGCGAAATATTTCCAGATTGGAGATTATAAAAATCACCTACTCTTGGCAGAGAAATTCATAATTTTATGACGAAGTTTTATCGGCTTACTTCTCAGTTCGAGACTTAACGATGCGATAGAATTTGCGTTCTTGATTTGTCGCACGTTTACTGCAGAGTGCGTGTGCCATTTGGGTTTTCTCCTTTCTCTTTCTTTCTTATTTTTCCTTCTTTTTATTTTTAACGTGAAAAATAATAATACCGCCTCTCGCGATGAGAAACGCGTACCCGGTCTCGAGCTCCACTTTCGAGAGCAGCCGGACGAGATTGCCGTTCGGCGTTTAGGATATTCCGGGATCTCTCGGGGAGACTAATATCTACGATCTTCCGGGTCTCTCCGACTTCGGGCGTAATTCCGAATTCGAAATGCGTACGGATCCGCGGAGGACGACGTGCCTCGACGGCGGTCGCGTTTTATCTTCCCCCGAAATTGTTAACGAAATTACACGTCAAATATTATCTCGTGTAATCCAGTTGGGATTCTTTTCTGTGAATCCCGCATGGAATGCAGCTGCATGTGCATAAGTTACAGTTAAAAAAATGACACATGACTCTCTCCGCAATGTGATATTGAAGCATCGATGTTGTAATTGCCGCGCCCGCATCCTGAATTAATTATTCTTACTTCGATGTTTATCGTCGACTATCATCGACTATCGTCGACTATTTATCATGGATTAATTGTTTGCCTTTTAATTGTTGCGATAAGGATACATATTATCGTAATAATATCATAATTATAGCATAATTATAATATGCAAATTTAAAAAGTCGACAGAAAGTCGTACACATGAAACGGGCATGATACAGATCTTAACTGCGCGTATAAAATAGAATTTATACTTTTACCAGCAGATATTTGTATACATAAAAGTATAATCTGCAACAGTGTCTTGCAAGTTGTTTAACAAATTGCGAGGCGATTTGTTCGGTAACAAAAATTTTTTTGCTATAAAGCGTTCCAAATTATAAAATTTTATACTTTCAAGAAAATTTTCTTTGCTACAAAGACGTTCCGAATGATAAAATGTCCTGCGCGCACACAAGTTTTCTACTTTTTAAAGTTTTTATACATTATCGTACAAAAATACGCAATTAATGTGCTTTTTATCTTCCTTTCTCACCTAGCCATGGCAAAGTGGCCGAGTGCGAGCCGCCGGCAAGGTTTCTTTTCGATAATGAACTTGCGCGAAGTTTCGAAGCTTCGACGGAGGACGAGAGGCTCGAAGAGAGGTAGAGAGCTCCAACCATCTCGGAGCAACGAAGCCGAGAGGGAAAAAGAGCGAGACACTCTCCTCCCGCATTCTGTTCTTTTGTTCCCCCGTCTTCTCCCCCTTCGTTTCTTCACGCCAGTGCGTCGAGTTCGAGACAAGGTTAGTGTGTCGTACTCGGAGCGCACTGCAGGATTTGGCAGGCCACAAGGGAGGCGACTCAGGCGACCAGCGGGATAACGGAAGAAGAGAGATAAAGACGAAGCGAGACGAAAATAAACGAAACTAGCAGCACGAAACGACCAAGCGCCTCGCGAAGGAGGTTCGTACTCGAAATTGGCCCCCGCAACCCGATTTTTCACCAATCGGCACGTTTCGACGTTGGATTGATTCCAAAATCCGATCGTCCGTCTGGTCAATGATGCGCGTTACTTTATTCAACGCCCACCGGATGTATACTTATAACTAATGAAGCAAGCGAAACTGAAATAACTCTCGTATACACGATTTCTGATTAATCTAACAATAAGATGTGAAAAAGAATCTTATTTTTTTTTCGATCGATTTATATCCAGACGAACGCTTCACGATATTGCGCACCGATCGAAATGAAGGGATGTGCTTTTCCAAACCGCAAATTTTTAGTATGCACCGATGGGGGTGATTTCACTTCGGTAAACGCACCACTACGTTACGCGTTCGCGTGTCATTAATTATGGACAGTACGTTTCATGAAGGCTCGAGGGAGCCTCCGAGACAGCCAGGTCAATTTTCAAGCGAACGAAGTTATTCTTCTTTTTTCCCCGGGGGGTAGTGAGAATAACTTCTACCTCAACCTCGACGAAAGGGGTAGAATTCCTTCTTTTTTTTTCTCGACACGCACTTGCGTATTTTTCCCCTCTTTCTTTTTACGTTTTACACCGTACTGTTGTATCGTACGGGATAGCTCGAAAAAACACAGCTGGTTTATAAATATAACGTGGATATACATACCATAAACACATAATGACCGAAGTATAATTAACGCGATGAATCTTTTAATCGTGGCCGCCCGTATATTTTTAAAATACTTCCGTCACACATGTTGCTTTTTTCAACGAAATCGAGTGTGCAAATCGCAATCGCTTGCCGCATCCAATCTGCGATACACACGAGATATATTTAGAATGTATGAGAAAGATTCATGCGATATAAATATTTATAGTATGTATGATCAATATCGCGCTGTGCATCTTTACGCGTTTGCGCCGTTAATCAGCATTTGACAAATATGTAATTAGCATTTACTTTTATTCGCAATAAACATAGACACTTTGTAATAATCAACCATCGAAGAATCGAAACATAGCATCATGTATAAACGCAATTCAACGTAACAAAAAATTACTAATGCAATATTCAATTACGACCAACGAATTCTTTCAGAAAATTTATTTCAATTTCTCTCAGACTTTTTATTCTTTCAAATGTGCATCGTCCTGCATTCTTCGCGTTTGCACGGCTCTCGCATACATTTTCGCACGTCTGCAGCACGTCTGTGCGCGACGATTGTACAACTTTCTCGGCTTTTACGTTATTATTGCTTTATGCTTTAGATACACGCGCGCGCGAGTTAATCCCGGCAAGCTTATCCCTCTTCGAGCGCGCGCGCGCGCGTCCGGGGGGCGTTCGTGAAATATTTACGACCCGCGTTCCAAAGTATCGAGATCGCGTTTTATGGAGTAGTAACCGTTCGTGCGATAATTTGCGAGCCCTATCGCGGATCATCATCCCCCCCCCCCGCTAAATTGTCGCGGTTACGGTCTTTGGTGAAAACATCACTTTATCTCGCGACAACGGGCACGACTGTCACATTGCACCGCGTGGCAAACATAACATTTTGCCACGAAGATTCGTGATTACGCTTGCCTCGTTGAAACCTCCGTGTAAACACGACGACCGCCAAGTGTGCGACGCGTGCAACGCGCTTCGACGAGTCTGCAGCAATCCGCAATTTTTCAAGTCGAGGAGAACATAAGGAGGCCAAACCTCAGACGTTTCACGGTGCATACGTATAAATAATATTACGTAATTACGTATCTAATACACTCGCGCAGCTCGCTGCGAAAATTCCTTTATAAAAGATCTTGTGCAACGTATATCTAGCACTTTCATAACGCACGCGTAAAACATTCCCTCGATACAAACTTTACACGATGCGGCTGCGTGCAATTTCTCTTCGATTTGCCATTCGGTTCTTTATGAATACCGCGCGGATAAAAGCGCGCGCGAGTGGAATTGATTAATAACTCTCTCTGGGAGTAATCAATCTGACAAATGACTGGAAAATTTGTCCGCGTAAAGCTTGGCCAATTCGCCAATCTGCTTTCCGAGCAGAAAAACATTCAGAGAGAGAAATAAATATCAATGTTTTCTGAGATGAAGACAGGAGGCGGCGGAGAGAGGAACCGATATAAAGGGGATAAACGAAGGGAAAAGGAAGAGCCGATAATAGGCATAGGCACGGCGATTAAACGCTTAAACGAGGAGCTTCTCGAGGTCATTTCGACACCCCCGACCCCTCGCTCGCCCACCCGTCTCCCTCTCACCCCTTTCCAAGGATATTCAAATCGGATCTTAACGACGTCCGATCACGCGATGGTTTCTCCCGCTCTCCCTCGCTCGCTCGCTCGCGAAACTACGGAAACTCCACCCACGCGAATTCCGACACGAGGCTCCGCGAAATAGTCCGTGATCCCGGTCATCCGAATCCCGAATTCCGCGATGAAAATTGGAAGCGGCGCGCGCGCGCGGATGTGTAGTCGCCGCGCTGGG